CTATATGAGTGGGAGGGAGAGAACTGCAATGATTGGAAAGAGAACGCAGGGCGGTAATGGGTTGGAGACAACGTAAACGAGACGTAGAAAATATATAATTCGATAAAGGAAATCAATCTATCCCACCAATGAGCGTCAAAAATGTGGATTGGAAAACTCCGCCCAAGATATTGAGCAAAATTTTTAAGGGTGGGAGTTAAGAAAGTTTTCCTAAGAGATAGTAAAGCCAACCTCAGAGTTTCACTCGTCGTTAGTCGGTGTTACCAACACAGTCTCAGTTGAAATTGAACTTTCCTGTCGTCATCTTATATCGTGAATTTAAATAGATATATATTTAATAGTACTGCGGATAGTGTATAAAAGTTGTGTTTAAGTGAAAAAGACGTAAGTGCAACGACGGTTATTAGTGCGAAATCGTCCCGAAGCCGGCCACGACATCGAACGACGATCTTGTGTCTGAAAAAACGTATCGACAGCCAAGGGAACGTGTTCCCAAATCGTCCCGAAGCCGGCCACGACATCGAGCAGCGATCTCGTTTTTGAAAAAGGTAAGTTCAAATTATTTAACAACAGATCCCGCGTCGTGCACAGCGACAAATTAAAGATCACACACACGTTGACCCAGGATGAAGAGAATAATGCACTTTTCTGTGTTATAGATGATCTGGGATCGACAGCCTGTACAGCCCGGCCCAAGACGGACCTTACCTCATTTAAACAATCTTAATAACCATTTTATATATTGGATAAAAATCGAGAGCTACCGCAATACCAGAACAGGAGAAACCATTTGCTCCAACTGCTACAACCGCGTCATTTCACCCCTCCTGTGCGAAATGCTGATTCGCAGTTTTTCTCACTACATTGCATGTGGATTAACCAACCGTGTCCTGCGCTGCTCCATCCACAATTGCACCACGCAGATAGTTACCAGCCACCCTCTCAGGAACTGCATAACCTGTCAGAACGTCTTGAACGATTTTCTAAGCTACGCCGAGGGCACAGAAGGATTCATCCTCGACGCAGACCGTTACTCTCTTATCCCCATCGAAGAAGAATACTACTCACAATAGCAGTTTTATTATAATTAACAATTTATCCTCTTGATTAACAATTGATACATATATTACATACTTATGAGAGGGAATGTATAAATGTATAGAAAAATATTAAAAATTATATTAATTAAAATTTTTTGCATCTTATGGAATATATTTCTTTCTTCCCATGATAATCTAAACAAATGCGACATTATCGAATGATATTCTGATTTTTTTATATAAAATAGATGGTAAAAGCGACACGAAAAGGGCGAAGGGGGTTAAAAGCAACGTGGTAGTGCGAACAATAACTTTTGACGATTACACGCGATGCTTGAGAGACGAGATCGAAATGACTCGTCGCCAGTCGTGCATACGATCGAAGCTACATCAAGTCTACACCGTATCCGAGACAAAAATCGCCCTGAGTGCGCACGATGATAAACGATACATCGTGCCTGACTCAACAGACACTTTGCCATGGGGGCATTACCGGATACCCTGTAACGTATAAGCGTAATGTATAATATGTAACATGTAATCTAGTATAATGTACTGTATAATATGTAACGTAGTGTAATGTAGCGTACTATACCATTGGATGTAATATTAATTTTAAAAAATATCTTGTAAATGTAGGTATATTATTTATTCATACATGTATTTTATACAGCTGTTTATTGCACACATTTTATATATTTTGGATTAAAACATTTTTTTAATAGTCTATATTATCCTAGCTATTTCACGTAAACCTTGTAACCCCCTCCTTTACGCAATACTTTTTTATGACAACACATCCGGTTAAGTGGTGCAATGCAGCTACCATTCGTAAAATGCCCAAACATTCTTGGGTCTAGAAGAAAAAATGGTACGATGCGGCTACAGTTAGTAAAATGCCCAAACATTGTTGGGTCTAGAAGAAAAAATGGTACGATGCAGTTACCGTTCGTAAAATGCCCAAGCATTGTTGGGTCTAGAAGAAAAAATATTTGACAAATGTCTCGAACGTTGCATCTTTAATGGGAATCATAAAACTAAAATTTAACATCTAGCAGTTTTCCATCAGAGAATCAGTCTTCAGTAGTTCTTCGACGCGCTAACCCGTTTTTCCATCACATTTTCAGAATGCTGCGCAAAGTTTTAGAAAAATTCTTTGCCATCGGGTGCAGTATAAATCGCATCCTAATTCTAGCTGAGTATTTATCCGCTTTGACGGACAATGACAGTGCGAATTATGATGTATTTTATAAGTTCGCGGATCGGTGCGCGAGTTCAATGTTGAACATGCTAGACCACGGAGGCTATTTCCACAACAACGCAACTTTAATCGCCATAATCATGGAGATTATGGATCTGCGTCAGGTGTGCGATCACGACGAGGAGGATGGCAAGATCCATATAGCCGCTTTTATGAGACGGCATAAGATTCGTGAGTATTAATAATTTGTACATTATTAACACTAGCGATTAAACTTTTTAATACTAATGTAGTATTTTTTCATAGAGAATCGTCTCGTTGCCATGGTGAATCCGCTTCCTCCACGTCCTGCAACCGTCGCGGAACAGCTTCCTCCTCCAGGCGAACGACGTCTCTCATTGAGACGCCGTCGTTGTCGACTATCCGAGAACGAGCCCGAAGAAGTACTTGCACGTAAGTTAAAGACAATAAAATTAAATCTTTAAAATACGGATTATAACGTAATTAAAATATTAAACTTTTTCTTTTATAGGGAGAAGATTAGGAAACGCGGTTGAGGAAGAAATTGCGGCACCACCTTTGCAGGAAATTATTAATATATCTTCTGGTAAGGTGATATTTTAAAATATATATATATATATATATCCACAACATTTTATAAAAGCTAACAAAACTATTTGGTTTTAGATGAAGAGGTGGAAGAAAGAGATGGAACCTTCCGAGTTCCGAGCCCGGCGGATCCGAATGCCCTTCAAAGCCCGAATGAAGAGGTGGAAGAAAGAGATGGAACCTTCCGAGTTCCGAGTCCTGCGGATCCGGATGCCCTTCAAAGCCCGACTTTAACCGACGACGATGACGACGACGACGACGACGACGACGACGACTCCATTTCTTACTCTCCAGGTAAGTTTCTTAAAAATTTGCTAATAGTTTAGACTAAATTAAACAAAATTTTATCTTTTCTTCGATGAAGTGATGTTGGACCAGGAAGAACAGGAGGATGCCAAAGAAGAACCCGGGAAAAAATGGAAAAGATCTGAACAGACCTGCTCAGATCAAATCAGATCCAATTCGCTCAGATCTGATTTGATCAAAATATTGGCCCTATCTGATCAGATTTAATCAGACATGAGTAGATCTGATCCGGTCCTAGCCGACAGAGTCAGATAGGATAAGAATAATTTATATCTGATCAGATTTAATCAGACATGAGTAGATCTGATCCGGTCCTAGCGGACAGAGTCAGATAGGATAAGAATAATCTATATCTGATCAGATCCACTCAGACATGAGTAGATCTAATCTGATCCTAGCGGACGAGGTCAGATAGGATAGGAATAATCTATATCTGATCAGATCCACTCAGACATGAGTAGATCTAATCTGATCCTTGCGGACGAGGTCAGATATGACAAGAATAATCTGTATCTGCTCGGATCCAATCAGATATGAGTAGTCTGGAGGTCGAGCATGAATTTTTCACACGTGAAGAGTGAAAACTTTCTCCATTGCCTACTTTTTCTAGCGAAGGACATAGAAGAAGAAGGCAATGGAGAAATTTATCACTTTTCACGTGTTTAAAAAAATTCATAATCAACCCCCTGATCTGATCTAGCGGACATATGGCCACCCTTACGAAAAATACACTACAATTATAGGATTTCTTCCGAGTGTATAAATTTAACATTATATGATAAATAACGGTATAACTATTTAGCAACATTTTTTTAATTTCTTGAAATTAAATTTTACATGAAATCATAATAATTATTGCGGTATCTTGTTGTCTTTCCTTAAAAATATTAATTCATTTTTATAACTATAATTTTAGTGAATCAGAGCCGTGACAGGATGGTAGTGTCTAAATATTCTATTTTAAATTTATTGCGAAAAAATATCACCTCGGCCAGGGTTTGAACCTGGACCTCCCTCTCGCTAGGCGGGCGTCTCAACCAATTCGACCACCGAGGCACATCATTTAGATACTATCATCCTGTCACGGCTCTGAGTCCTTTAAATTCTTTGAAATTTGTGTTTAACACATACGAGCCTTACTAATTTATATAATTTTAGTATTTAGTGAAAAATACTAAAATAATGTTAAAGTGAATATAAAATAATATTTTTAAAGAAAACCGTTAAAATTCCGCATTAATTATCATGTTTTCTTATATGATTTCACTTTTCAAGAAATTAAAATTACAAATAGTAACATTATTTACCGAATAATAATTATTTAAGAAAAACCATATTTATAATGTACTTTTTGTAAGGTTAGATCATATATGCAGCTATAATAAAATAATGTAAAAAAATATATATGTATATAAGTAACAATTTAATATTATTTATTACTTATACTATAATGTATATTGTATATGTTTACACGGTGTATT